TATATGTATTAAAGAATGAGTTGTCTTACAATCTGAGAGTATGCGTTATGGAATTAATTAAAAACCAAATTGTTATTTATGAATATTTCGTTTCTTTCAACAAATCCACATATCCCCTAAAATGTTGAACTTAATACACTGAAACTAAAGAGCAAAGAAGATGACACATTTTTAATCAGAGAGATCAGTTTCATTTGCATATATGGCATGTGCAATAAATAAATCGACAAAGTTACTAAAGTTTATCATAAAATTTTGGCAAAGACTAACAGGAAATTCATAATATATTAAACCATGTCTATGGAGGTCATCCGTCGAAAGAAAACAGCTTTTACACACCGATCAAGCATTTTGGTAAGAGCCATGAATACTGCTATGATCTGTTAGACTAGAATAATCCTTGATCTCCTGTTTTGATAGAAACAACGAACTTGTAGAACCTTATATATTTTCTAACAGCTGATTAATTGCCTAAATAATTTCAAATAAATCAACTTTGAGAAAATCTTGTGAATATACTATTCTGGTGAATCATTGAAATCTACGAGGCTGCCAAAAAACATAACTTTAAGGGATTCCAAGAAGGTTTTCAACAATGAAATCATAAATAGGACAAGTCTGTTATCATACGCGAGGAGTACTTTGAAGTAGTTCCTTTAACTTTGTGGAATAAACTTCTCAAGATGGGGGTTTGTGGATATTGTAGGAATTTTAATAGTTGAATTCATGAGTCGATCTAAGCTAGACCACCATCGGAAACCTGGAGGTACTGAACAGTCGTTTCGTCTTAATATGGGACTCTTCAGCAGTGAGTGCCTACGATCCTACGCACGGTAATCGAACCCATGACCTTTGGCCTCACGCGTGGACTCTTAACCTCTAAACCACCAAACCTGCATCCAACGGTGTTAGTGCCTGACTTCAATCAATCTACGGTCTTGGGCAACCCTACATCTATTAAGATTACTACAAACTCCATGTGCTCAGTAGTGACTAGCTTCAAGATGGATTTCATGGAGTTATCGTTAGCAACCATGACCAGTGGAGATAGTTATCCTTGTACTATAACATAACTAATCTCCATAATTCATTCATTAAAAAATAACTTACAAATATTCAGACCATCTTTTCATAACAAGTAATGTCAACAAAATAAAACTATTTTTAATTAACTTCATTGACGAAAAAAAAGCAATATAAATTTAATCTGTTTAATTACAAAAAAGGAGGACAAAAAAGAAAGAGAAGGATTAATCAAAAGTGAAATTTTTTTAGCAAATTTACTCCAGATGTATTGTTAATTGGAAAAATCACATAATATTGTTTACTGATTAGTAACAGACATATATATAATCATGAAGTGGTAGATGAAGAATTAGCGGTAAAAGTTGTGATATTTGTAGTCACTTGTTAAAGTGATGTCTTCATCTAAATCAAATGTATATATACATAAAAAAAAGAAAGTACAACTGTGGTCTGTAGAAGATATACAAATATGTACAAACATATATAAAAATTATTTTAATTTGTTAAACACGTGAATTAATTGATAGAACTTTTGTTTCCAAGGAAAATTACACAAATGTCTCTATATGCTAATCTGATGAATTCATACTACACAAAGATCATTTCTTCAATACTCTTCGTTTTTTTTTAATTTTTAATCCCTACTCTTATGTTGTTGTTGGTGATGATGGTGGTGATGTTGCTTTTTCACTTATTTCTTTACTATAAACTAATTAAAATCATCTGGTCTTTAATTTGTACAAACATGTAGGTGTATAAACATTTTGATATTCGTGTTTTCAAGAGAATATATAGACATCGATTTAAATATTATTACCTAATTTACAGTCACCATGATGATGATGCGATAAAAGCACTTAATTAGTTCAGACATTTACTTGTTGTTAGTCTCCACACATAAAAAATACAAGAAATATAAAGTTATAACCACTACTGATACTTCTAATAATGATAATAATAAACAAGTTATAACAATCTTCAGTTAGTTTATTTTCAATACAAAAAAAGAGATAATTATCAACACAACAATTTCAACATTAACTGGACTGACATTATCCAAACATGCTGTGAAATTTCACAGGTTTATGTTATATCTTTCTTTCATTTTCTGTTTTTCTGTTTGTTTGTTTGTGTGTGTTTAGGTATAACAGATAAGTTTCTAACTATTATTAACTATAGTGAGTTTTTTTAAGAAAAGTAAGATAGTTAGATAGATAGATGAATACGAAATCAAATTGAATATGTATATATAATTCAAACAAACATTTGGTTAATAGTCTACAAATTATCTTTGAATGAAATCAAAATGAATTTAGAAAAAAAAAGTTGGAATTGAAAAGAGGAGAAACTATCATTCATAATAATAATGATCTTTTTTTATTGTTGTCGTTGTGGTTGTTGTCGTCGTCGAAAAAAATGTTTATTTATTTATTAATTTGATATAGATTACTAATTTGCAATGAAATGTATTAATTAATAATCACAGCTGGTTACATTAATCAGTGAATTGAACTGATATATTATCTGAGTTTATGTTTTACTGGAATGAAAAAAAGTTGTTTGATTATTATATTTTAATAGTTGAGATCATAAGTCAATTAAAAGTTAAACCACCATGGAAAATTTGGAAACACTGGATGACCGTTTCGTCCTATTGTGAGACTACTCAGCAATGCGCATTCATGATCCTGCCTCGCAAGATTCGAAAATAGTTTTATGTTGACAAACTTATTGTTAGGATTCATTGAGAATTCCTTGATGAAAACTTCGTAAATTAGGTAAAGTCTTGGAAAATTTTGTGCAATCAACATCTATTAGAAACTTTCTAGAAATTTCTATGGGAATATGACGGGTTATATGTCATACTAATCGTAAATTTATCTATTTTGTAATTGATTCTTGATTACTTTCAAAAGTTATGGGGATATCGAGGTTAAGCATAGACCTGTGAACATTCTTGTTTCCTGTTGACTGACGTTGAAGTAGAGTTTCTCTTCTCATTCTATACTTTTATTCCGTTGTTCAGGGCTTAAGTGTAAAAAATTCTAGAAATGTAGAAAGTCAATATTAGTCATTCAAGCATCAGACGTTCAAAAATTATAATTTTCTTTTTGAAAATGAAAACAATTTAAAAAGTTATCGAATGTTGTTTGGTTAGTGCATAACATTAATTCAAAATGTCAATTTATTTTGAACTAATCCGCTGAAATATTATTCCAACAATTTACAACAAATAACAAAACAAGAATCGATCTAACTTCCTTACATCCAAAAGGTTACTTGTGATTATCATTAGAAATACCAACTTAACTGGTGATTTTTAAATAAACTGAAACAGTGATTCTGGCTGGTCCACTGCTAGAGAAAAAAAGACAATCATGTATTTTAATGTGTTGAGTAGATTATATAATAAATTTTGAAGAATATTTTAAGCTCATTCAAAACAACTAATTAAGTGCTGATCTAATGAGTCCCACGTGTGTGACCATGGATACGCACTGTAGAAGAGTCCAATACTAGGACGAAACGACTATCCAGTACTTCCAGATTTTCGATAATAGTTTAGCTCAAATCGACTCATGAATTCAACTATAATAAATGTACAATAAGGTGTAAGGAAATTAAGAAGTAATCTTGAACTATGAACTGTTTTTTAAGCCTTAAAATTTATTAACTTTACTGTAAATACACGAAAGTGGAAATAAAATCAGTTAATAGAATGTTAATACCAACGATGTTCACTTCCGATGGCTTTTTTACGGAGAAAAAGACCAACAACATTTATGACATTCTTTTAAATAATCATTATCCTTTCTTACGTATTTAGTAAATATTGTAATATAAATTGATTGGATAAACTGATTTTTCATTTAAATATGAAGTTATTAATTAAAATTGAAAAAAGACCTTGGTATTGAGCTTAATTGAAAACACTTCAACATGGTATTCTTAAATTTATTGATTAGAATATTACTATGTTGTGTCTCTTTATTACATCTTTAGTTATTATTCTTGATTGATTGAGTTTAAAAGTGTACTTTATGAGACAGTTGAATATATCATGTAATAAATGACTGTCAAATTTAATTTGAATTATCTTTCATTCAACTTAATTGATACGTTTGTCTAAACGTAATCGAATGGATCGATTTCAATCATATTTCAAAGATCAAAGATCACATTGATCTCTATTTTGTGTCATTGATCAATGTTGGTTTAAATATATAACAAGCATGAATTCTTTCAAAATTACAGATGCGTTTGTGTAGGAATTGCGAAAAAAATAATAATTCAGTCTTAATGATTCTGCATTCATAGTATCGAAGGTGTGTAGGTTGTTGGAGACAAAATCATTTGATTTGAAATAAGCTATTATACTTGTAGATAATATTGGACACTTGTTTTAATTAAAAGTCATCACCCTAAATAAATTTGTACCGCAGTAATTATTAGAACCTCCCCACCCCAAATAGAACGTCCAAACCATTGCTTTATAGACTAGGACTCCAATGATAATATGAAATGTGTAGTTACTAACTTAAAATAGTCGAATGTACATCTTTCACGAATAATAATAATAATAGAATAAAGGTGAGATTCACGAAATTTCAAATATTTGTCACATATGATTAGAAAAACCTGAGGTCTTTCTATTGAAATTTCAGTACAAACTAGTCAGACGAGAGTCATCAAGTGGATTCGATTATTTCATTAATTCTTCAAATTTAGATTATGTGACAAGGAATAAAGGTTGGATGAAAACATGATGGTTTACCCCTCCCCACAAATTGCTTAAAATACTGAACCTAGATTAAAAAGAAAAGAGTATAAAATTTAGTTATAGCCCTCTTATAACCGCTTTGTTGTTTCTCAATTCATATTATTCAATTTCATCTCCTCTCACCCTATCATATCCCATCCCCATATTATGTTTTGTTTTCATTTTATTTTGATTTCATATTTACCTTTTATAGAAGATCAATTCTCTGATCAATCAATTGAATCCAAATCTAAATTATTACATGAATCAAAATCACAAAATACAACTGTTCAATCTATAAATATTAATCCATCTTTTATAACATTGAAACAAAATTCATCATTTTCATTAAATCAAATTACACAACTAAAAAATTCCACATTTAATCATCAAATTATTCAATCAACAAATAATGTACATACAATCAATGATTGTCATACAAAAACATGTAAACGTAGATTAACTGATAAAACTTTACAAACAACTAATCAAAATTATATGAAAATTAAACGTTCACGTGAAATTAACGATTTGCCTTATTCTTTATTATCAACTAAATTATCTAGAGAAAATTTAAAGATTAATGTGAAACAGACGAATTTCCAAATAGACATAATCAACATCATCATCATCATCATCAAGAACCACAAGTACCATATAACAGAATATTTGAATTTAATAACATTCAAAATGAAGTTGATTCATGTTTGTTAAATCATAAATCTCATACAGAGTTAATCAATAATCTCTGTACAAATTCAAATCAAAGTGATAATCATAATGATAATAATGATAATTGTCTGTATGACCTTGATGATGAAGATGATGCTGATGTGGAAGACCAAGAGGAGGATGATGATGATGATGATGACGAAAATGAAAAAGGTGGGGATAATGACATAGACGATAATGAAAGTGATTCAGATAATGATTATGAATTTAAAAAATGTTCGAAATCTACTACTAACAAAAATAATAATAGTAATGTAAATGATTCAAATATGAAACCAAGACGTGCAAGAACTGCTTTCACTTATGAACAGTTAGTTACATTAGAGAATAAATTTAAAATGACAAGATATTTATCAGTATGTGAACGTTTAAATCTTGCTTTATCATTAAATCTTACAGAAACACAAGTGAAAATATGGTTTCAAAATAGGCGCACAAAATGGAAAAAACAAAATCCTGGTAAAGATGTTAATATACAGAATGATAAGTCATTCATTTCTAAAGTAATGATACCATCTACTTCATCATTATCATCAACAGTGACTACAGTTTCAATGCCAAGTATATTTTCATCTGTTTCATCTATACCATCTGTTCAGTCCTTAGGTATTCATCGTCGTCGTCATCACCATCATCATTTACAACAAAATCAACCAGAAATGGAAGCTTTTTCACAGTTATCTAAATTGTACTATGAAACATCATTGTCTAACAAATCAATACCAAAAGAAATGTCCACATTAGAATTCTTACGAACAATGAATTATTTAATGAATAATAATTCACTTAGTTCATCAACAGTAAATAATAAAGAGTCCCCAGAATATAAAGTAAATAATGATTCATTGAAACAAACAATTTCATTAGATTTAAATAAATATTCTAGTCTTTTAGAATATTATCAACAAATATGGTCATCTTTAAATAATCAAACTAATAACTTTATACAAAATCATTCAAATCCACAATTGAACAATGAAAGATCTACTAATGATATTAAACATTCAATTAATTCAATAAATATACCTACATCTGAATTTTACTCTGATAATCTTAAGTCCATTATAGATAATAAAGCATTATATAATAAAGATATATCCCAACAAAGCGATATTAATAATAATCATAATGATAAATCTATTTTGACTAATATTAATGAATCTTGTCTAGATTATAAATTGTTTAATAAAAACGAATTACATAATCCTATAAAAAATAATTTCAATGAATCTATTAAATCATCATTATCTACAAATATATATCCAACTTTATTTAGACCAATATCTACTCATGAAACTAAAATATTTTCATCATCATCACCGTCACCATCATTATTATCATCATCTTCATTAAAATGGGATCACATTGAAATGATACCGAATTCTATTGAACATAATGAAATAAATCGAATACATAATCAAAATAATATATTAAATAATGAACAAAATGATATGATGATATGGAATAAGAATTCAATGACAGCAGCTGCTGCTTATGCCATGTTAACAACTTCATTTGAACAAACAAATTTTAAACAATATTTAAATCAATGGACAGAGAAAAATGAATTATTTAATTCATTGTCAAATAATCATAATCATAATAATAATCGAATATTATCAACGGAAATAAATTCTAAAAATGTAGAATTATCGACAATAAAACAATTCAGTAATAATAATAATAATAATGATCCTGATGATATTGATAATCCACATTATACTTCAACAAGTCCATCAGGTTTACAACATTCTACAACATCTTCATCAACTTCATCACCTCATACAACAACTCATTTATTTCATGTTGAACAACAATCATCACCAGATGATTTAATAAATAAATTAAATGATAATTTAAACAATCATAATCCTATTCAATCGATCCATTAAATATTATAAATTCATTTAAACATTAATCTATTCTTTTCTATTCACTCCTTCTTTTTTTTCTGTTTTGTTTTCTCTCTTTTTTGAAAAAAATTATTCTCATAAAATGTAAAATAAAAATGATTATGGATTTTATTTACCTTTATGAATAGTTGGCATTTAAGTTGTCAAATCAAATGAATATCAGACAATTTATCGAGTATAGTCTTGGAACACTAGTTATTATTCAATGAAAATCAATTTCTCTTCCATATTGAAATTTTGTCTTGGAAATGTTAATGTTTTCTAATTTATGATTGATAGAATAAATATTTAAAACATGTGTATATTACTAATAAAATGTTTTTATCTGATATATATATATATATATATATATATATATATATATATATATATATATATATATATATGGCCCGTGGATCTGACTCCAATTAGATCGTATGAATGTTTGTTATCGCCTATCCTCGTATATGATCATTGACTTAAATCGCGTTAGTCAATAACGGATTTAGATGAGTCAAATAACGAGAATGGACTTTTGAATACATATATTTTGTATATAAAGTGAATGGAATAGAACGAAGCAAGAGGACGCACAGTGGAGATGGTGGATAAGCCAACTCCCATTTAACCAAGCGTTAATAGATATTTATAGTTACACAAAAGTAAGTTACAGACATGTGATGAGTAATGGGATAAGAAATGTACACACACCTACGCGCTCATATAAAAACAGTCAAGATTGATAAGCGAATAAATAACAAGGTCAGAATGTGACTCAAGTAGAATGAATAGAATGGGCTATCCGAAAGGTAGAATAAGGTATATGGGCTTAACATAATAACCGACACTACCATATATGTCCAGTATTAATGATTACTAAAGTTCTATATGATACATTGGTTGAAAATGAAACTATGAAATAATAAACGTTGATTTAGTAATTGGATGTTATAATTGGCTCATTAGTGAATAGCTTCAAGATGGATGTTCTGGAGTCTAGTGAGAAGTCATGACCAGTAGAGTTCAACCGTGTCTGATGTGTGGCAGTTACTCACTGAAGACAATAGTGGATGGTTGCGCAATATCGTGGATTAGTTGGAGTTAGACATTAACACCGTCGAATTTCAGCTCAGTGGTCTAGAGATTAATCGCTCGAGCGTGAGGTCAAAGGTCCTGAATTTGAGCCTCCTTGTGTGGGATCGTGGATGTGCACTGCCGAAGAATTCAAAACGGTTGTCCAATGCTTCCAGGTTTCCAACAGTGGTCTAACATTGATCTATTTATGATCTCAATGAAACTCAACAAGTTTGACAACCCTATACCGATGTAGTTATTGCAAAATTTCTAAGTACCAACTTCTGTTTTCTGTTGTTATTTTTTATTGTAGATGTGGTGTGTACTTCACCCCATTTCACAAGTAAATGGCTATCATGAATCAGTAGCCAATCGGATAACACGATAGTGTTTGAAGCCAACATTAGTGGACTCGAGTCCCGAAGTGAATATCATCTCTGCGATGCAGGTACATCCAGATGACGAGCCCAAAATAGATCGAAACGTACATCTTGGGTTCCACTGCTAACCACCATCCATCCTTGCTTATAATGCTTGTGACGTGTACTGTTTAGTAGTTTAAGACTGAAGGAATATAACTGTTCATAACTTCTTGATTTCACTGATTCTTTAGCTAATATCACTCTATGGTTAAAGTACACATACAGCACATGAGTTAGTAAGCTTCATCTTAAGTAAAAGACTATAACAAAAACATAATCATACAATGATAGTTACGTAAATACCGTAAGCAAGTGAAGTATGACGGGATCTAATTAAGTTAAGTCTACGATATAGATATTTTCTTTATAATAACTATGATAACTGAGGGAATCTAGTACTTAGAGTAAGTAGAGCACTGAGTTTCGAGAAGACATATAGAAAAATACAAAGAATTTCATGCAATTGTTTTCCTTTATGAATTTGAATAGAGCCAAAACAACAACTGATGCAGAATAATATGAATCCATTATCTTCTCCGGTTTCTCATCAGATGCTTGCAACCATATATGTATTAAAAGTTAACATCAAGGTAAGATATAACATGAAACGATTGACATAGATGAACGAAAATAATTAGAATGATAATGGTTATCAACAATAACTATATATATTCAGAGGGGGGGTGTGGATATTATAGTAATATGATGGTTAAATTGATGAGTCAATTGACGCTAGACCACCATGGAAAACCTGGAAGTACCTTGAATCTCACGGGGCGGGATCGTGGATGCACACTGCTGAGGAGTCTCATACTAGGACGAAACGACCATCCACTGCTTCCAGGTTTTCCATGATGGTCTAGCTTCATTTGACTCATGAATTCAACTATTAAATAACTACATATATACTCAAGAATAGGTTAGAGGTCATTTGGAGATGAAATTTTAAAAAATAGGGGGTAGGTGATTCATTAATTAAATGAGGTCCAGAAGCAGATAATATAGATTGCGTAATAATTTTAGAGGTTATGAAAGGTTTTTATAAGATTATGTAATGATTGAACAGAATTTCATGAGTCTACATAAGTAAAGAGAATAAAGTGAATGAAAACGTATGAATGAAGGGATGGTTTTAGTATACATAGAATAAGAATTGGTTAAGGGAAAACCGCATAATAAAATAATGATAATGACAAAAATTAGTTTACCAAGGTAGTGATAAGTTGATCACTGTCTCTTTCTGAATAAATGAATCAGGTTTGAGTCTCTCCATTGCTTATGTTTCGGCAAACCGAAGAGACGCTGCGTTGTTTTTATGTTCTAATAATTTTGAAGGCTTGTGGAATGTCTATGGTATGCCCGGTATATATACATATATATGTTTTACTGATAGTTAACGATTAGTTAACAAATATCGAATATAACTGAAATAGGCGAAATACAAATTGGGATTTACAAAGAATTACTGCAAAGCTCATGTTACACGTTATACTAAACGAACTTCACATTGAGTTAATATAAATGATATTATACTGAAGTTCATAAACTTATACACTGAATATTATGCTGAATAAAAATCAAACTTGTTGAAAAATATGATTTCATGTTTTATCTCTGTCCTACAAGTAACTAAATTATGCATATCTATATCTCATTTCGAATTTTTCAGACTGAATAAGGTTGAGATATTAAAATTTAAATGCAACATTATAACTATGCCTGAAATCCGAAACTACCTTTTTTTGGGTACTCCTGACTGGCTAATTTCTTGCTTAAACTGTGATATCATTAGGATTTTCAACTGTAGCATATGGTTTTTCTTAAAATACAATGATTCATTTGACTCAGTAACGTTTATAAGTAAGAAAATTAAACTCAACAAGAAAAGAAACATCTTTTTTCAAAATAACTTACCAATAAAATCCATTAAAAAGTCTTCCATAGGTTTTACTTTTATAGACTGTTAGTAGTAATATCTTTTTGCAATGAAACCCAGGTCACTTTGTTGGACGAGATAAAAGATGAGTGTCTGTTAACACCCCAAACGTTCTTACACAATTAACTTTGGTCATAGATAATGTTGGTTACTCTGCAGCGAGTCTTTTAACCAGGTTTTATTACCTTCTGGTACTTATCAGCTGGACATTTCCTCAAACTCATGTTTTTTTGGAGATCACGACTGTCATCACTCAGCATTATGGTTACTCTATACTAAGATTGAGTTATGGATTCAAATATGGTGACATTTTAAAAAACAATATCAGCTGCAATCATTCAAGACGTAAATCGATGGAAGATACATTTGTTTATCCCTTCGATAGGAAAGAGTCCATTGTGACACTAAGAAGGAAGTATATAAAAACATAAAGAAGACTTTGGAAGCAATGGCAATACTGTACTTTACCGACGGCCTTGAGTGACTAATCAAGTCAACCGATGCGCGAATTCGAAATGCCGTTACGAATAGCTTGTTACGAAAATTCATGATTTTCATTATATCTCGTATTTCGAAATAATTAGACGATGGTTTCCTTGTGGAATGAGCAGTCAATGTAAGTATACTTGGGTTAGGAGTGTTTATATTAGAAGTGCTAGGGTTAGATGGTAGAGTTTAGGAGTTCTAGCGTTAGGAGTCAAAGTTAAGATTAAGAATATGTGTTAAGAGCCAGTGGCAATAAGTATAAGGATTAAGTAGTTTTTAGGTTAGGAGCTAGAGTTGAGACGTTTTAGAAGCAAGAAGTATTAACGCTAGGAGCTAGGGTTTAGGAGTTAGGTTTTAAAAGGTATAAAGCTAATCATCAACAAAATGTTCAGGAGGACTATAGAGGACGTAAGAACCAAGAGAGGAGCTGATATAGCATCAGATCATCACTTGCTGGTCGCCAAGATGAAATTGAAACTCAAGAAGCACTGGACAACGGGGCAGACAATATCACAAAAGTTCAATACGGCCTTTCTTCAGGATACTAACAAACTCAACAAATTCAAGATAGTCCTCAGCAACAAGTTCCAGGCCTTTCATGATCTACTCAATGGAGAAGGAACTACTGTGGAGAGCAACTGGAAGGGGATCAAAGAGGCAATCACTTCAACATGTCATGAGGTCCTGGGTCACAAGAAGCACCATCACAAGGAATGGATCACTGTTGATACACTGGATAAGATTCAAGAAAGGAGGAACAAGAAGGCAGCAATCAATACCAGTCGAACAAGAGCAGAAAAAGCCAAGGCACAAGCTGAATACACAGAAGTAAACAAACAAGTGAAGAGGAGCATCAGAACCGACAAACGTAAATATGTGGAAGATTTAGCAACGACGGCGGAAAAGGCTGCAAGAGAAGGAAACATGAGACAATTGTATGACACGACAAAGAAACTCTCTGGAAATCGCCGCAAACCAGAACGACCAGTGAAAAGCAAGGAAGGCGAGGTAATCACCAACATTGAAGAGCAACAAAACAGGTGGGTAGAACACTTCAAAGAACTCTTGAATCGACCAGCTCCACTGAACCCACCCAACATCGAAGCAGCACCCACGGACCTCCCAATCAA